AGAGTGATATTTACGTATTTTTTTAAAAATTCCCTTTTCATGCACAATCATAAAATAGAGGAGAACTTACACAAGCTTGTAAGATTTCAGTAGTACTAACTAGAAGATAGCCTTAATGAGAAAGAAAAAAGCAAAAGAAAACACAGACCACTAGTAATAAGGTGTAGAACAGCATAGTCGTTCAGTATGCCCGATGGGATGAGTTCGCACTGAAACATATTTCCAGAAAACTGAAAGACTCAGCTTGATCTATGGAGTATTAAATACTGGTCACCTAAATTTTGGAAACACCTGCCAAATGCTGGAAACTTACGTTGAGCTGTTTGTTCTACTAGTGGTTAGCTGCAGAACCAATGATCTCTTGAGCTCATGATAATAAAGACAAATCTCAGTGTAACAGAAGATGTTTCCTTTCCTGTTGGCGGTGTACTTTGGGAAGGGGTATGAATCATTCATTCCTCTAACTGGCAAACAAAAAAGCCCAGAGAAAGTGAGCGGGTAAATGTGACAGAGTCAGGATGAGAATCCAGGTATCTTAGATTCATTCCTCATCCACAATTACTTTTATGAGACATACTGTTTCTCCTTTAAAAGTCTGTAATGTGGGCATAAATATGCTGTATGTACCAACGAATATCACATGGTCATGAAAATGTTCAACTCCAATCTATAACTCTGATCCACATGTTAGTAGCAATAAATATTTCATTAATAATTACTCTGCTTGCTATTCTAAAGATTTTAAGAATTTTTATCTACACAATTTAGATGGCTTAAGTTTCTTAAAAACAGTTTTTCATGAATATTTGAACAGATGCCAACCTTTTTCCTTTAAAAAATGTCCCTATCTCAAGAACATTCTCTTTAAAAAGAAATTATAACTCTCTAGCATTTACAGACATACCGGAGAACTAAAAGTTTATAGAGAACTAATTTCTTGAATTTTTCCTTTTGTCTTATAGCCCTAGAACAAAACCTAGAAGAATAGATAAGTCCAGTTTGATCATAAAGCTACCAGTATTGTTGGTTTTGACAATACTATATTTTTCAGTATTTGTTTTTTCTATCTTCCATTGCAGATTTACTTAAGATGCCCTCCTTTCTGTGCCAAATTCCTTCCTTAAATATGCTTGTGAATTTGTTTAGGTATATTAATAACATTTTTTGGATATGAAGCTATCCTTAAATGTCCACTCACACAAGGCTAAGAAACTTATTCACTCTCAGGCTTAGATATTTAGAAATGCTTAATTTCATTTCTATCCCCAGTTTTTAGTAGAGTGCTTGAGAAAGTATTGGTTGAATAAATGATTTCTCCTTACCTCTGAACTCTGAACACTGTTTTTTTCTGAGCCAGCTTACCATTTTATATATATGTGTAATATATACATATATATAGGCAAATGTATAATGGATATATATATATATAATTGGCAAATGTAAATGGATATAAAATTTAGAACATGCACACATGTACACAGACTGAGAAAAAATATTTTAAATGGTTAAAATAATCTTGGATTTTCTAGAGCTTACCAAAAGATCATTAATGATATAGGGGCATTAACCTGACTTATATACATGTATGTAAATGTAAATATATAAATATGAATATATTATTTATCAACTTTGAAAAATATTATATTCAAAAATTTAATGAACCATTTTTGAATTTACTTTTTCCTATTCATTTTCTACTTGTATATTCAGAAGACGTACTCTAATGTGACTACTAGACCACAAAAAAACATAATTCTGTATTATGCAATGAGATTCAATTACTGTAATGAAAACAGCAACTATAATGGATTTGGTACATTGTAGTCACTGTGTTAATTTTAAGTTCTAGCATTGCTATAAATTCTTAAATTCTGAAGTCAAAAATTTTTTTCCTTTATAAAACTTGGATTACTAGTAAAAGGCATAAAATGTCAATGGTGTATTATAGAATAAGATTATTTCCAGTAATTTCGTATAAGCACATAAGCTGTTTTTAGTGTTTAAACAATCTATGATTGCGTTCATCAATGACCAAAACAAAATATTACTGGGAGTACTCAGACATATATCCTCTAATAAAGATTGTTCACTTTATTCTAAGAAATGAAAGCAATTTCAAGATCTTATGTTGTAATAATTAGTGACACCAAAAGTTTCCTACAAATAATTGCAGTTGATACTTCTCGTCATCTTATAGAATCTATGTTCCCTAGAGACATCTGCCTGGCCCCCTTTATAATTTCAGAAGGATTATATAGTTACTTCAGCTGAGTACAGTGCCTTGATGTCTCAGATTGCTAGGAATATATCATCTTTCCCTTTCCCCTGCAAAATAATGTACTCTTTCCCTAAAGGAAATGATAAAGAAAGTAATAAATTAAAAACTGAAAACTTAAAATCTTTGTCCACCAAGCCAGGTATGTCAGACTTTTGGCTCCAGGCAAACACCAATGGGCTCAGGTGTTCTCTACACAGTATACAGAAAGAAAAATAGTAGAGACCTGGATTTTGCTCTGCTTTTGAAAGAAAGGAAACTCTTCCAAGGAAAGCTTTTCTCTGTGAACCAATGATGAAATTATTCTACGCCCAACAAATCAGAAAAATGGTCTTTATTGCTAAACCACTGTAATTATTGGAAGTTAGATAAGTAATGAAGGTAGATTTGCAATTACTAGTTTAGATTCAAATCACATTAACAGGCCAAATTTAGGATTCCTTTTAGGTTTAATGTCTGTTACACAGAAACGTTCATAGATCACAGATATAGTAATATACCAATCTGAGACAAAAAGTGAAATGTCATAGACTAAAACACTGAATTGTATACTGAAGGGATAAACATCTGCCCCAGTTACCTTTCTCATTAATTATGAATAAGTACAAACTGCGATTGGAGCTAGATATAATAATGCAAAGTTTGGCTTATACTAAGGTATGCTTATCAAGCCAACTATGTACTAACACAAAATCAAATTCTGGATTGACCACTAGAAATCCAAATTCCTCCAAAATGGACATGATGTACAATTCTCAGTCTCTGAGAAGTATAATTAGAGAAACCTCATCTCCTCAGGCAGAAAGATGAAGTCTACTGCATAATTGTGCTGATGTGCTTTTCAGCACAGCACTGTAAAGAAAGATAGCTTCATACTTACTTGGTGCCTGTGTTATGAAAATGAAAACATAGTTATTTTTATACCTTGCTGCTTATGTTTTTCCCCTTTCTTTCCTGTTCAAAGTTCCTTCTCTGGCAGTTTCTCTAGCTGACTAAATTTTTTGAGGGAGCTAACCCAACGTGCTTGCCGTCTAACAAACCCTGGGGCATCTATCCTTTTCCTAGTAACAGAGTACTGCCCCTGATTCGCAATCTTCCTCAGTACTCAAAACTGGGTTAGAACCCACCAGAAAACTAAGAGGCAAGGGAGCCGGAGAATGAATAAAGCTTACTTTTTGCTAGCTATTTTGCCACTCATTTTTAGAGTTAATCTCCAGCGTGTCATACTTTTTATGAAGTAGGCCAATTTTTTTCAGGCTCTTCAGAAGCTCATTCTAAAAATTTTGACTCTACAAATGGAGAAGTTATACAGCAATTAACATTAAAGGAACTAAGGGAAATTCACATTGGATTCAGAGAGTCATCAAGAAAACCAAATAAAGCAGACCCTCAGAGCTAGTGGATACAAATTAAAGACTGTTTCATAAGTCAATCTGTTTGATAATAATTTGCCAATATAGGAATTAGTTGTATTAGAAGCTAAATAGATAAAACACAAGGAAATAAACCAAATGAAAATGGCAAAATACTTTTTAGGATTAGGAAAAAGGACTACGTTACTAATGGGAAATGTCTACACAAATAAGCAAATTTTACCTGTCATCATCTTGTGAAAATCGTCTTTGCAAATCCTCTTTATTCCACTGTTCTTTTTCTTTCCCTTGCTCAGGTATATCTTGTGCTTTTTCCTCGTCTCCTGATTGTCTGTTTTTCTCCTTATCACATGTTTTTGTGATCTCTGTCCCTTTCTCATTCTCATTAAGTTTTTCTTCCTTTACCTCTTCCTTCTCATGAACTATCTCTTCATGCTTATCCCCTTCTTGCCCTCCCTCTTCTATTCCCTTTGGCCTTTTGAAAGCAACACAAATCGAAGGCATGCAAAGAAACACAAACAAGAAAGAAAAAGTCAAGGAAAAAACTGCACATGAAATTAAACAGAAATGTAATGAAAACTACTCAAACAAACAAAAATTCTGTCTTTTAAATGATGAATACTTTTTTCTCCAGCGTATACCAGAAGCAGCACTGTGTGAGCAACACTCAGTCATCATTGTTTTTAGATCAGATTTTCCTGTCACAAAGTTGCATGGAAAAAAGTTGTAGTCTCCATTACAGACGTTTTCTGATGTAATGGGAGTAAAAAAACCCAGCTTAGGTGCCTATAAAATCTATAGGTCAGGTGATAAGTAAAAATTGTACTAACATATATGACATTTATACATTTTCTTGAGAAGCCGAGGACTTTTTCCATGCATTTCTAAAAGTTTCAGGAGAATGAGAGAGCATCCTACTAAAAAAGTCATATTCTTATGTATTCTGAATCACTGAAGTGTATTAGGCTAGGGAAAAAAACCCCTTCAAAATATTATTTTTCATATTCTTTGGAACGTTAACAAATTCAAGTCTTAACTTAGCCATCACTTTAATTTCAGGAAAGATATAATGATAACAGAATTACTTTTTAAAACAGCAAGCATGAAAAAATAACTCGTGACAGGATTTCAAGTAGTCTAGTAAGAAAACTACGTTCTACAAAACTTTTCTGTGCAAGTAGTTTGAATAGAGACCAAAATATAATAGTGATATGTTCAGAACTTCTTATTGCCTTAACAACACGTATTAACCACTTTGAAATCCAGGATTTTATGTTTGTCCAAAGAAAAATCAAAGACCTCCTAGAATATGTTTAGAAAAAAGAAGTGCCTGCTACAGTCCCCTTACTCACCTGGTTTTCTTGTTTCCTCCTGGCCGTTCTGATTGGACAGACATGTAGCTCGTGCTGCTGAAACGAGAAGCACTACTAGTCCTCGAAACCGCAGACACATCACTTACATCACTGTCCGAAGATTTAGTGGAAATATTATCTGCCCCTCTACGAGGATCCCATCCTGATCGATACTGTTAACACAGATTGACAAACACGCAGAGGTGGTCAGTGTTACCACACACAGCAATCATTAGCTTCTCCTATTTCAGCACTTCAATTGTCCACAGAGGAGACTGCAAAACCCCACTCAGTGGCATATAAAACAAAAGTGAATGGCAATTATCCTAAAAGAGAAATCCAATTTATATGAAACCTTGTTTTTAGCAAAGGCAATTAGAGCATTTTCACCACACCCCAGTGAAGGCCATTAAAACAGTTTCACAAGAGCAATGGCCCCAGGGAAGAACACTTAGGTAAAATCTGGGAAATAAATGTAATATAAGGAAGTGGAATTGTTTGATTGCTGTATAGAATTTGAAAAAGAAAGCGTATAAGGTTGCCATTGTAACTTATAAAGACCAATTTTAGTAGCCACCAAGGTTCTCTTGTAATCCATTATGCTTCACTGAAAACGTAGAGATAGTATAGAATCTAAGTATTAAAACACTAACTTTTTATTTTTTTTATTTTTTATTTTTTTTTCAAGATTTTATTTATTTATTTGAGAGAGAGAGAATGAGAGAGAGAGAAAGCACATGAGAGGGGGGAGGGTCAGAGGGAGAAGCAGACTCCCTGACAAGCAGGGAGCCCGATGCGGGACTCGATCCAGAGACTCCAAGATCATGACCTGAGCCGAAGGCAGTCGCTTAACCAACTGAGCCACCCAGGCACCCCAAAACACTAACTTTTTAAAAGAAAAGCCAAGAAAAAAGAGAGTTTAATTTTTGCATGGTGGCTGGAGTTTTGATGAATCCTAGAAATACTAGAAAAAGTCATTATTATTTACAATAGTTCAAATTTCCTGGAATTGAAATAATCAAATCGTTATCTGGCACAGCCAGCCTGCAGGGTGTTCTGGGTGGTCAAATATTCTGGTAAGTTGCAAGCCATTATGAATGCTTTGTGTTCATGGCACTTGGGATGTAAAAAAAGAACAGACTTTGGAGTCTGGAAAACCTGGGGTAAGAAAAACTCTTACTAGCTGGGTAAACTCGAGCAAATTATCTGACCTTTACAAGCCTGTTTATAAAATAACAGGGATAATAATATCTTCCTTGCAGGGTTGTTTTGAAAATTAGAAATAATACATGTCTGCTATCTAATAATATAAATAAATAATTATGATTGTATCATTACTACCTGATGGCTACTAGTGGGTTAAGAGAATATCTGCTAATAGGTCTTTCTTTGTTTATATGCACTTCAAACATCATGTTGAAACATCCTTATTTGGTCGATTTTGCAATGGAGATTTTTCTAATCACAGATACTAGCAAGTATCACAAAGCCCTAAAAGATGATTACCTTATATAAACAATTTACTGTGACTTGAAGAATCTTTACTTAATAAATCATCTGGTAAGAATAACAATTCACTGCAAATATTAGATAGATATAAACATTCTGGCTAAGATAAATTGAATGGTAATAGGGTATAGTATAAACAGTAAATCAGATTAAAATGATCTGTTTTTTTTTTCCCCAAGGATCTCTCAGTGTCTAGTTATATATTTTTGAGTTAATGACTGATTCTTTTCTTCAAATATAAAATGAGGGGATTAATTTTAAGGCTCCTTAAAATTTGATAATCAAATCCTTAATCTAGAAATATACATTCAAATTAGGTGAGGTACTGGCCTTCCTTAGTACATTTTAACTTTCAACTTTGTTGGGTAAATCCAAGTATCAAAGAGAATACACTTAAGTTCTGCAAAATTCGCTGCCTTTTTTTCAGGAAATACCGATGTAAATAGAACCTTCATGTTGATTTTAAAGGTGGATTATTTATTTACAGTGAATTTATTGGAGAACATTTGGTCCATGATATTCTTTTTCAAACTAACGTCACTTTAAAATATTAAAAACAATTTTTTGTGACATTGTGTGACATTTTGAAGTGACAATGTCTTCAGCCATTGTGTAGAATAGCATCTCGATGGCTGGATCCAACTGTAAGAGGTAGTAAGAAATAATAATGTAACCAGAGCACATGCCCTGGAGTGAGAATGAATTGTTGGTCTGAATCGTAGCTACATAAAATTCTTAGGTTTGTAATCTCAGGCCAATTGCTTCTATAAGTCCCAGTTTTTTATCTGTTAAAACATGGACAACAACTGTATCCATCTCCCATGTTTGCTGCAAGGATTAAAGAAGATAATGTATGTAACAAAGCACTTAGCACAATATCGACATACAACAAGTGTTTAATAAATGACAAATGATGATGATGATGATGATTCGATAGTAGTTGAATACTGGTTTAGTATCAATTCCACGTATATCTTTACCGAAAAAAATACTAGGTAGAAATACCCCAAAATAAATACACTATTTTAAGACTGCGCTAAGCTACAATAAAAATATATCCAATTTTACATATCTCCAAGAGATTCATTTCAGAAAATATGTTTATAAAGCAAAATTGAAATATGAAACCAAACTTTGCCACTGACTCCTACTCTGTCCTCAGGTCTCACCTTCCCCATTTGACCAGCTTCATCCATATCCCATTATTTTATGGAGAACTACTGATTCCCAGACACAGGATGAGAAGTAGCTTTATCTCAGCAGGAAATCCATGACACTTCTTGGCTGACACAGAACATGCCTCATTTTTAATATCTGTCTCTGGTACGTTATCTCAATACACAAAGCCATCTGGTACCTGTGTATTCTGTGTTTCCCTGATTGGTTCTTGTCTGATTGTTATGCCTTCATTTCTGAATCCTAAATCTTACTTGATTTTTATATTTCACTAGTTAGGATTCTGACTTTGCATGCTCTAGTCTTTGTCTTTTTGAGTTGTCGTGACTTTTAACCCTGTTGCTATGATGCATAGGTACATACAGGCTAGCCTAAGGCTTAAGAATTTGTCTTAAAAGATACATACACAAAGATACATGTACATTGCACGTATCTTTGGCTAAAACCTCTTAGATAATCGAGTTTGCTGAGCTAAAATTTTGGATATGCAAAACTTAGGGAAAGATAAGATTACACATATACAGTTTTATAGAATTCAACACACGCTAACTCTTGTTAAAGATGTGTGTTTGTGTGTGTGTGTGTGTGTTTAAGTGTGTTCATTTTTAATTTTCAAACCCTCTACTAGAATATAAGCTCCTAAAGGCCAGGACAATATCTTCCTTATTTTTGTAACTCTCTTAGCACCTAAGAGTCAAAGATTTAATTTGATTTAACTTAAACTCTGAAGCTTAGTTTTTGTACCAGTAAGATAAGGATAAATCTCATTTTAAGGATTCTTGCGAGGAGTTAAGAGACATGATATATTTAAAATACCCCGTAGTGTGCTTAGCACACAGCAACTGCTCATTTCCAATGCCTAAAGCAGAAAGTCATTAAATAAAAAGACACTGAGTGGAAAAGTTTATATAAAGAAAGAATACAAATTAGCTAACAGCTCTAGTTTGATGATGATTATACTGCATTCTCAAGGCTTGTATTAAGTGCATTTCTCTGTCTACTTCTGGGCAACTAAGTAGGTTTACCTTTAGGGTATAGATCAGGTTTCCATTACAAATTTACACATGATACACAGAATGAGAAATATAGAAAGTGAGAAATAATAGAAAAAAATCTTTTTATAAATAGAACTTCAGAAGAACATATTTTGAATATACTTAGAATATAATATCTTCACATATACAATTGCAAAAACCCCAAAATTCAAAGTCATAAATGACCTAATATTAGAGTTTACTTTTAAAGCAATTCATTTTTTAAAAATTTCTTAAATGTATTTTTTTCTTTTCCTAAATTATGGTAAACAAAAGTTTCTAGTTTAATAGTGAGATAGCAGCAGCTAAATTATTATTGTACCAAGGTATTATGAATGCAAATCAGCTCATTTATTTAGAAAACAGTTGGTGTTGTCTTGGCACCATACAATAAAAAATGTTTTCAACAATCAGCATGTATTAATTTACAGCTGACAGATCAACAATGGATGATATGCTCACCATTCTCTTTAATGGAACAAAAACAAAGAAGATTTATTGCATAGGATTACATGATCTCAGCTGAAAATTGTGCCCTGATTGGAGATCATTAAAATCTTGGAAGACAGTAAGGAAGCCTTTCCCGACAGCATTTTGATGTTTTGTACATTGCTATTAAGTAGATCATGAACTAGAAAAATTTACGGGAAATTATTATTCTTCAGGATGTTCCAGACTCTAAAGCGTTCTTAAGTGGCCTAGAAAAGTTAATGTTCTCTCTATTCATCTGACAATAGTGGAAAGTAACAGCATATCATCAAAGCTCTATTAAAAAGAAAGTTATTATTAAAATTTTAGAATATTCCTGAGAAAAAAGTAAATTCAAATTTCTAAAATAAGATTTCCATTTCTCCAGTATACTCATCTGAAGCTCTCAGATTAGGCAATTTCCCAGCTTGATTTCTCTACCAGCATTTCAGCAACTCAGGTTGTTTGAGTTTTGTACATGAACTTCTCAGACAAGACACGGGAGTGGGATTATGAGTTGCCTTGAGCATTGCTTATCTTTGATTTATTAAATTTCACCAGAAAACTGCAATTTGTTGTCTGGGAATCTAGTCCAAGACTTGGTTATTGCAAAATACCAGGCAGGAAAAAAGTCCAAGTTTGAAGAAAAATAAGTTTTATGTCATCAAGAAATACTTGGAGGAATATTCATATCATATTCAGAGAGAAAACACAATGAATAGATCATAAGATTGGAAAAAAATAGGGCAAACATAATCTTTGGAAGGTAAAGGAGAAGCTGAAGTTCTGGACAGGGCTCTCCACACCAACGTGGGGGTCTGGAGGAGACAAGAACAGAGCAGGGGGAGTCTTGGCACTGTGGTCAATGAAATAATCATGTGAGCAAGAAGATGCTCTCATTTTTGCTAACCTATTTTACAGTATTTCAGATCATAATTCAAAAAGTCCTGTTGTCTTTTGATAGTACCAAAATTGCAGAAACTCCC